TGAGCTAGATGAGCATGTTGCTAGACACAGGAAAAACCTCTTTAGAAAAACTGAATTTCTGTAATTTAGAAATGGCTGGACCAGCTTTCCATTTGCTTTCACAAAGAACTCACCTTCATGTTGAATTTAAGAACTGAAAACCTCTCCAAAGGCATTTTTTGTGCTGCTGACAACTGAGAATTGAAGTGGGAGCAATATGTGGCTCCAGCTCTTCTGCTGTAGTGTGTGCTCTGTTGCTATTAACAATTTGTATACATGTGGTGTAATTCTTCATAGGTTATGATGTGCATATTCAGATAATCTGTGCATGTACATACTTAGATTCAAGAAACATGTATGCAAAATTTGTTAAAAGCAAGAGCCTTTTGGTAGTAGCATCAGCTACAGTATGTGTGTATGTCTGTTTACTTGGGGGGTGGGGAAGAAAATCTAACCTGAAGACCTATGTGCAGTGGTTGGCTGACCTCCCTGTATGACTCTTTCTACTTCTGTGGTTACTCATTCTCTTTGTTAATGTTGTTTTTTTATGCATAGGCTAGAATGTTGTGGAAAAACACCTGCAAGCGCAATTCCTAACCATTCCTCATGGCTTCACTTTGGGGTTTAGATCAGACACATCTAAATCCTGCTCTGTAGCTATGTGCTCCACGTTCTCATGGTGGCCGTCTTCCAGATCTGTGGGTCTGGAATGTGACTGATGTGCACTGGGTTTTCTTGCTGAAGTGCACTGGGTTTGGGACTGTTACGAATGAGTTTTGTCATGCATCGTGTTTACGGTCACGGGGGAAGGAGGGGGGAAGCTGCAGGCGGAGGCGTCGCTGTGGGGCTTGCACTGTATCCGTTACGCATTCATACACAGCGTCATCTCCCCGTCACTATGAAACACCTTTACTGGTAGCGGTCACACACATCCCCTTTGGATTGTGGCATTTTCTGTCTCGGGTTAAATGTGTGTTAATCCTGTGGGTGTTGCCATTCCTTCTACTTGCAGCTTCTCGACGTCATTCCAGGTCCACTAGTGCTCTCTCCACTGCTGATTCTGTTGGGCAGTCAGGTGAACAAGCGCTAACTGCATGAATCCGCTTCTTATACGTAGTCTTGTTTTACACCATCTTAACATTTGCTGTCATGTGCATCAGCCAGCACTTGGCATGTGCTTCTCACCGCTTTGGGGCTTTCTGTTCTGCTTTGTTCAGTGTGCCTTTTTGTTTTGAATATTATTTATTGGATGTTTTTAATTTTGTGTATTTTAGGAACATTGTGAGCAGTGTTTAAACAAAGGGTGATCCAGGGCTTTCTCAATTCTCCTGTAAATTTAATCAGTTGTGCAGCATGGGCTAAATCCTGACGGATGCAGAGTACTTGCAACATCTGTTTATATTTCATCTTTAGCAGTGTAGCAGTTCCTGATGCCTAGGACCAGATTCCAAGGGCTTTCACCCCATTTAATACTAAATATTCTGGACTCCCGTGTCTGTTAATGAAAGCACTTTGAGGGATCCTCTCCAAAATACACAAGGGCAGCAAGAATTAAGCACTTAAAGAGCTTTCAGAACGAACTTTGGAGGATAACACATGCTGATCCATCCTTCATATAATTCTGAAGGCCTTGTCCAGAGTACTAGGAAGTTGTTGAAAAATGATTCCCTTAATTTTACTGGACTTTGCATCAGGAGGTTAATGCAGAAAAATATGCAGATTCCAGTGGCTTCTTCCCCACCCTTGTGCTGGATTTGCAGTTGTGGAGAACCTTTGGAATCAGAATATTTCACTGAGAGTCTTCAAAAGAACTGAACGAGGGCTGCTAGCCTTGGGTCAATAGAAACTTAGTTGTGAGGACAAAGGTGATGTCAAAGATGAATGAGGGCTTCAGTGTTTGTTCGGAGGCTAAAATTGCAGAAGGAATTAGTGATACTGAAATCTGTTATTAACCTCCTTCAGGTAGGGAGTGAAAAACACTGTTTCTCTTAAGTGTAGTTAAATGGCTGTCACTGACCTAAAACTCTCCAAACATTTCCCTTGTCAGGTTACTTGGCAGAAATGCTGTGAGCTGATTTGATTATTTGGCATTTTTCAAAGTAACGATTTGAATTTGTATTTAACAAAAGAAAGTGAAAAGATTTAAAAAAAAAAACTCAGTTGTAGTACAGATTTAAGCTTTGTTTGCATTCAACTTCCTGTGATAGTCACTTCATGCTTGGCTCCAGTGGTTTGGTACAAAGCATGGTCAAACTGTGTATGGTTACCTGTGTCTTAAGGCCAAAACCTCCCTAAAAATGGCAAAATCAGGCCAAAAAAAGTGGTTGGGAGTTTTCACCAAGTTTGTAACAAGTATAATGAATCTAGCCAGAGAGACAAGGGAATGTGGCCAGAGTATACTGTGCTGATTTCTTGCCCAGTAACATTAGCCTTGCCTGTACTGGTTATTCCTGGAGCCAAATGTTTTCACAGCTCCGCGTTAGAGATGCATAGAGATCTTCCTAAGATTTAACGTCTGCACTCAGATATGGCAACAGTCTTGGGGAGAAGCCCAGAGTGACTTGGATGTTATGAATGTAAAGATCACTGAAAGAAATACTTCAGAAAATTCCTGATAGCCGTGGAGACAGATAAAAGCGAGCATGCCACACTATACTTTAAAAAAAGCTCCATTTTGTTTCTTTATGCTGGGTATTTAAACTGATCTACAACTGAATTACTTTGTCATTCCGTTCTTCATTTTAAAAAACCCCAAACTATCTTCCCTTTTCTAATGTAATACTAAATTAACCTGAAAACAAAATGACAATGGCATTTTGGGATGCTATGTTATTTCAAAATTTAAAGCCAAATTCTGATCTCAGTAACGCTTGAGTAATGCCATTGAGCTGAGTTTAAGTATAAAACTGAGTCCAGAACTTGTCTCAACGTTTTCTGCCCTTGTACTGTACCAGATATCATTTATACTTAGGAAAATACTGGCCTTCTCTATGTATTTGTAGTGTATATCTCTGCAGTAGTGACTTCAGCTTCAGTCAGACCTAATGCATTATCATCTTCTCTGTGCCTCCATTAAGAGCATACAGATCTTTCTATTTTAGGGATGAGGTACTGTTTCACCTAAATATTTAAAATCATTTTTCAACACAAGTGCATTAAAAAAGGGGATAGTAATAACACATACAACTTTTATTTCTTTGTGAAATGTCATTATTTGATTACTTTTTGGCAGTAGTTCTAAGAAGTTTGGTTGGTTTTGTTTTTTTTTTCCCTTGTAACGTGTTTTGTAGAAAATGTGCTTTTGTTTTAAATCAGAAATGTCTTGTCTGGGTACGTAACTCTGAGAAACAGTAAATTTTGATAGATAACACTTTATTTGTAATAAATACTAGTCCTCAGGGTTGTTTGTTTTGTTTTTGTTTTTTTTTTCTTAAAATACTTCAGATTTAAAAAATCTTCCCTATTTGCCCTCAGTAGCTTAATCTCTGACACACTTGGCTAAAGCTTTGGAATTAGGACAGTACACTGGTAAACTTCAGTCTCTGATTTAAATTACGCATGTCAGTGTGAGCTAATTAATTAAAAGATATTTTAGTGCAGTAGATTTTTTAAAGAAAAAAGCAATTAAGTTTTGTGATAAGCACAGTGTTTTTCCACCAAAAAATATAGTAAGCCGCTGGATATCATGTTTGCCTTCAGTTTTGTGGAGATCCACGATACAGTTACACATTTTTATAAACAGTATTTTTCCTTTGTTAAATTAAATATAGATGAACTAATAAAAGAGCTGCGTGATTTGATCCTTCTCTCTCGCTGGTTGATGACTGCCTCCAATGTGGATCAGCTGAAGGTCTATTAAATGGGTTCATGCAGCTTGGTTCTTGCACCACTGAATTTGCTGGCAAAACTCTTATTGGCATGTGTGGGTGCAGGGGGACAGACGTGTAAGGTGTGTCCCAACAGGGATATTCCCAGTCCTTCTTGAGTAAAGACAAGCCCACATAGAAACAAAAACTTGAAATGCTCAAACCAGTCTCTTTCTGCTTATAGACCAGAGCCAGGATCCCGGTAATACGGTATCTAATCTACCCCCATCTAGATGGACAGTGCTGCCAGAGCCTGGCCTGTGATACTCAAGTCACTGATTCTGTCATATCCCTGCTGACATGCCTTTCTGAATTTGGCTTTTACCCAAAAAACCTAATTTCAGTAACTTTTTTGGCAGACTGGACAAATGCTAAAGTAAGCTAATTAGTATTAGGAGCATTTTGGACTCAATCCTGTTTCTTTGGATGCCACCGAGAGTTTTGCTATCAAATTTAAGGGGAGGATGATATTGTTTGATCAAAAATACCAGTTTTGATATCAGAGCTTTTAAATGGTATTTCAGTCCAGTGTATGTTTCAACTGCTTCATAAGGCCAGTAATAAAGCGAAAATTGGAGTCACTCCACAAGCAGATAAATTTTATTTTTATACTGTAGGGTGTAGGGAGACTTTCTGGTGGTTAATCAAGCCTTGAGACATAAAGTGGGCTAATCCGGTTCTGCTAGTCTCACATCCTTGCCTGAGAAAAAGCTCAGGATGGATGAGTGCTCGGGTATTAACATGTTCTGACACTGGGCACGGTTCTGTCTCTGAAGTTAATGAGAAACTTTCTCTTGATTTCTGAGTGTGCCAGATTGGGACTGATATGTCTGCCCCTGACATTAAACTAAAACTTTGAAACAACTTCTGCTTAAAAAGAAATGCAAAATAAATACTCTGCTTCCCAGCTTAAAAAAAAATAAAAAAATAAAAAAAATGCCCTGAAGATCTAAAATTCTCTCTGAGACCCAGCAAACAATAGTTTATTTCTTACTGTAATGGCAAATTCTCTAGAGCTGTGGATAAAAGAGTGTTTAATGGAAAAGCACTGCGAGTTCCCAGAGCCCGTGGGGAAAACTGCTCGGGCACCTGATAAGGATTCCAAGTGAATGTGAATTCATTTAACAATCCCTTTCAATGTTGTCTTTTGTGCAGACCGGTTTGGACTCGGACAGCCAGGCAGGATGCCTGCTTCTGTGAATGCCATGCGAGTCCTGAGCACAAGCACAGATCTGGAGGCTGCTGTGGCCGATGCACTGGTAAGAGGAAAAATACAAAATGCTTCCAACACCGGAAAGTGGCTTAAAGTTACCTGTACGTACGTTCTCCTCTTTCTAAATAGCTTTGTTCTGATTGTGCCAGTGTCTGATGCTGTAGAGTTAGTTACCTTTTGCTGTTTTGTCTTTGGGTATATTGACAGCAATATTGGTTTCCTTATTCCATGTTAATTCTTCACAGCTGTTATCAAACAGACCGCTGTGGCTTGATGCTAGAGCTGCAGGATGGGTCGAATCAGCTGTTTGTCTTCCACTTGGCTGTCAGAGGATGAATGTGACACTGTGGGGTTGCTTGGCGCCCGCGGGGTCAGGGATTTCTATCAGTCCTATTACCTGCGTGAAGACTGTCAGAAGAACAGTGTTCTCTTAGTGCCGATTCCTGATCAGGTTTCAACAAGAACTGAGAATTTCACACGTTTCTGCCCTGTGTTGTTTGCACCTGGCTAGATACTCAGATCAGCTAGTAACTTGGCTTGCCTGTAATTGGTGCCATCTCATGCATTTAAATTGAAGTGTATTTGTCTATTTGCTGCTAGTACTTTCAAACATTCAGTGCATTTCCAAGTAAATTTACTGTCATTTTTAAAATTTTATTGTCCTGTACAGTCATGCTGTGTTATAATATCTCTCAGCTAGAGCCCAGAAAATGTTTTCTGCTCTTTTGAAGACAAGTGTTAAGATAAGTCTTTGGATTTACCTTGAGTATTTGGGAAAGAGAGGATGAGTATAGACAGGAGCAATTATTGTACAGCATTAGCTGGGTACCAGTGTACCTTGGGTCTTCTCCAGCTTCTAGACCTGAGCTGAGGGGAGGATTTCCTGATGTATCTTGAGACAGATATCTCAGGTCTTTCTTTATGGAGAATTAGCCATGTCCCTAGAGTTTGACAGATGTCCTTTCTCCATTTCCTAGTTCACTTTCCCTAAGTATGGCTAACATTTTCCTTTTTATATTTCTTTATTACCCAGCTTATGTCACCTCCGTTTCTATATGATTATTAGAGTACCCCTAGAGAAATGCTGCTTTTTACAAAATCTACCTTTATGTAAAAAAAAAAGAAAAGCGTATTTGTGAATAATATAAAGTTAGGACAGTATATAATAGATGGCACTGTTGCATTTAGTGGGCTGAATCATTAGTCAACATTGTCATTACCAAATACAACAGCTTGTGAACCAGTTTCTGCTCTCAGCACCTCGAATTCGCTACCAGAGCAGTTCAGGACATAATTACAGGCAGTGGTTTGCCCCTGTAAATGAAATCAGACTGTATCCTTGAATATGAGCCATTGCTGAATACAGATTAATACAGGTTTCTTGAGGGAGGAGAGGGTTACAGTGTTTCAATTCACTGTGGATGACCGAGATCTCTTTGGGTGTGACTTAATCTTCAGCTAGACTTAGAGTTCCCTTTTAAATATTCCACTCTTCTAAACTAAATAATATTTTACTGGAACGTTAAAATCTTAAAGGATTGAACACTTCAAAAGGAAATCCTTAAGTCTAGCTGGAAACCAAGTGATGCTGATGACTTAGTTGATCAATCTGAATTTGTATAACTTTAGGTGATGCAACATGATCATCTTGTCCCCTTTTTTCCCACCACCCCAATTTGCTCTTTCTTGTTTGTCTTTTCACAACAGGCAATTTACAAACTATTCAGTCTCCTTTTGAGAGAGTAATCTGATGCCAGCTTTTACCCAGCAGCCTTGTTTTCAGAGGAGTATTCTTTTCCCTGTAGTTGGAAATGGAAAGAACTTCTCCAAAGATGGCTTCAGCCAAATACTCAGTTTAAACAAAATACAGTGGGTCATTTTGTGACCTCTACTCCCTCTGTACAATTCCCACTGGATCCACTGCTTCTGTTTGAGAACTGAACTTGGCCTAGATCCACAGTGTATACACTGGAATCAGTGCTCGGATCTGTCACAAGAGCTCAAAGGGTGATGGAAACTTTGGTGTTAAGTAAGGCCTTTAAGCCAAGGGTGCCAGCCAGGGGGGTCTTAAAAGATGCTAAGCTTCAAAAAAAGTGTGGTGTAAGAACTGCGGGTTGAAAGAGAACTTGGTTAAGTGAAGTTGATTAAATGTGCTGTACTGTAGATAACGGTTTCCTGACATCAGAATTTCTTTCCAAGACTCTAAAATCAAATACTACTAATGATGTGTGAGGAAATAAATCATTACCAAAAACTCTGTTATCTTCCAGAGCAGCATTTCTGAAAAGTAAGCAAAGAGGCAAAGAGGTGCTGTATATATATCTGTCATTAAAAAACTTATTAAGAGATAATCTCACCTCCAGGGTCGCTAATGAAAAATCTAGGCTGTATGAGCAGTGCAACAGTTAGGAGATAAAGCCAGGCGTTATTATACCCACTTTTATTTTGCGTAAACTGTATTTTTTTTTTAATTTGCTAAGACACATTTGCTATACGTTTTTGTTGCAAAAACAAACCCTACATAAGCTTCTGACATAATTCTCTATGCTTTTTCCCACCCTTCAATATTTTCCTGCCTACAGCTGTTAGGAGACTCCAGGAGCAAGGTACTAGTGCTTTCTTGACTTTTTATTTCTACTTTCCAACTTTCCCCACCCTGTTGCTAACACCCATGATACTGCACTTGAGTTAATTTCTACAATTCAATCCTGCAGTCCTAGTGGAAGCAAAACTCTGCTGGCTTCACAAGTCCAAGAACTGCAGGACTGGACCCCGGAAGGAATTCTGTAGCAAACACTTCAGAATATAGGCAGTCTTTTTCTGAGACATTGTCTTATCAATGCTGTTCTGTTCAGATTTATTTAAGAGTTTGTTTTATAACATAGCATACAATTGCTATCCTAATTATTCTAATATCCCTCTAAGGATCAAGGTTGTCAAAGATGTACCTAAGAGAATCAGGTCCTTTAATGCCATGCTATGGAAATGAGTGAGATTTGAATACTCCTTTAGCAGCCTCTGGAAAATCCTAGCCCAAACTAACAGAGAAATTGTCATCTCCTATATCCCAGTGCATTTCTAGAGTCACTTCTTTATCAATATCAAAGTGACTGTGCATGCCAGCACAGGTTCCTTCAGCTCTTTCTTTCTTATCTTTTTTTCTTTTTTCCTTGAAGTAGAGGTTGTATCATCATAGAATCTGTAACAATGGAACTGACTGTAATTGACGATAAAACAACCTATGAGTTCGTTATTAGTAGCTAATTTCACTAAGCCTAAGTATCCAGCTTTCATGCTGGGGAAGGCAGGCCCTGCCCCCTTTAGTCACTCGAATAGTCTCACTGAAATCCATGGTATCTGTCTTGCTCTACTGTGAGAGGTAAGCAGGCAGTGCTTGGTGATGTCTTTAAAACGCTTATGTCACTGTAGCAATAGCATTAGTCTTCATTTTGATGATTACAAATGGAATGTTTTTCTTTTGGCATTGATGTAACGATATGTAATTTACTAAGTCAAGGTTACCCCTTTTCCAGAAAAAGCCAGTGAGAAGAAGATATGAACCCTATGGGATGTACTCCGATGATGATGCTAACAGCGATGCATCAAGTGCTTGCTCGGAGCGCTCTTATGGTTCCAGGAATGGGGGCATTCCACACTACCTGCGGCAGACTGAAGATGTGGCTGAGGTCCTGAACCACTGTGCCAGCTCCAACTGGTCTGAAAGGAAAGAGGGACTCATAGGTCTTCAGAACTTACTGAAAAGCCAGCGGACACTGAGGTGACCTTGGTAGTTTTATAACGTCAGTCATTCGTGAGAGATGGCTATAGTCAGAAGTCAGTAATATTTACCTGTCTTATGTAGGCAGATAGTATCTTTCACAGCTGTGAAGTCTTTGTCCCCACAATGTGGGACTTGAATTACTTGTGGAAAAATCTCTGTCATTAGTATAATTTGTGTTAAATTTGTAGCAGTAATGTAGATGAGACTCAGGTAAGCATGCCATCTTCTTAGTCGTCTCTGTCTCATGAAGACCTCCAATGATACATATTTGTTGCAGCACAGTGAGATTTCCCACAATGATGGTAATGTAAATGCACTCAAAGGGTGGTACTGTTTCTACATTAGTCTGTTTGAACCTGCAATTATTTTTTTTCCCCGGCGACTTAATTGGTGAAGCAAACACTGCACTTACTCTAAAACAACTCAGGGTGTGTGTGTCTCAAAGGTGAGATCAGATGGTGCTTTCAGTATGAGTATACTTTGACTCTGAAGGCTGTGTTAGGTATAATTATAGATATTATTTCTAACTCATGAAAAATCTTATATAAGAAAGAGTCTCCTATAAATTCTGTTGTTTATGATGTAGAGGGATGTTTCTTAAGGCAATAAAACAGATGTTCCAACTCTGAAACTTTGCTTATGGTAGGAAAGGCAGACCTTTTTCCCTTGTTGAAAGCCGCATAAACCTTCAAACACCTTTGGCATGTCACACATTAAAACAGATCTTAGAATTACCCAGTAGTCATGTGGAAGCTTCATATGGCCACAGGCCTCATTAGCTAAAGTCAACTGGCTCCTGGGCCTGAGGCTTTTCAGCCTTGGTTTATGGTGACGGTATCTGAAAACAAGCTGTTGATCTTTTTGCTCCTTTGAAGATAACATTCACAAGTAGCTGCGACGTTTTTATTTTCCTGTTACGAATATTATGTATTTAAATGATGACCAAGCTTATAAGTGGTTGCTGTGTGGTTTATAGCCAACCTACTTGGATTTGTGCAATTGTTTCCGTTTTAAAAGGCCTTCACACTGACTGAAAATATTTGACAGTTCATGTTAACATGCTGAGTGAAAATATACTGAGAACAGGCCTGGAAAGGTTATTCTCTTGCCATCATAAGAATATTCTAGCACTTCACATAATGTGGTGCAGTCCTTAAGTAGGAAGTGCTACAGGTTTTTAGTATGGGTGGTTAGAGTCTCTAGATCAGAGATGCTTTTTGATGTGTTTGAGTCTTTTCAAAGATACTTCCCACATGTGTGCTGTCTTTTTTTCTTTTTCTTTAACAAACTGTCTGGAAAGACTCTGAACACCTCATACGCTTGCATGAAAAAGTTGAGTGAGACTTTGTTGGTTTTTTTTTTGCCACAAAGGTGTGTGAGGATTATAACCAAGGTTTTGAGTGCTGTTGGGCATAGTTCAAGGGAGGAAATGCCAAGAAGGTTGGGTGATGAGCTATTTATCCAGATCAGTAGCTCTTAGTAGAAACGACAATTGAATTCAACTATTGTTTTCAACCCTGCAGGTTGGAGTGTTTGAACTGTACTGCTGTCACTAGTCCCTCAAGCTAGCACGTTTACTTAGCTTTGATCCTGAATAGTTTATAGACCTGTCCCAGAAACTATACCCCTGCAGAGTTATTTTTTTAATTTGATAGTGGTTTTAGTTCTCTAGATGATATTTCGTTTTGGTTTGCTTTTGGTCTACTTCCTCCGTAGTTCAGGGTTGATCTGGTGCCTGTTCTAATGATTAGATTTTATCATCCTGTTTGTTCCCACGACATCTTGCAGAACATCATCAAGGTCATTAGTCCAAGGGGCAAGTCTGTCTGTCTTCTAATTAAGCCTGCTATCTTCTGTTGTGGTATAACAAATTTAATAAAAGGCAGTGATGTGGCTAGGTTTTCTTTAGTACTCTGAACTGAAAGGTAGGTCCTGAGGGAACTGGTGGATGAAGTTGCTAAGCCATGTTTGAGAAGTCGTGGCAGTCTGGTGAAGTTCCCACTGACTGGAAAAGGAGAAATGTAGCCCCTGTATTTATAAAGGGAAAAAAGGAAGACCTGGGGAACTACAGGTCAGTAACCTCTGTGTCCAGCAAGATCATGGAGCAAATCCTCCTGGCAACTATGCTAAGGCACATGGAAAATAAGGAGGTGATTGGTGACAGCCAACATGGCTTCACTAAGGGCAAGTCATGCCTGACTAATTTGGTGGCCTTCTACAATGGAGTTACAACCTTGGTGCATAACGGAAGAGCAACTGATGTCATCTGCTTGGAATTGTGCAAAGCATTTCACACTGTCCGACATGACATCCTTGTCTCTAAATTGGAGAGCCATGGATTTGACAGATGGAACACTCGATGGATAAGGAATTGGCTGAATGGCCGCACTCAGGGAGTTGCAGTCAACGGCTTGATGTCCAAGTGGAAACCAGTGCTGAGTGGTGTTCCTCAGGGGTCGGCATTGGGGCTGGCACTGTTTAACATCTTTGTCGGTGACATGGACAGTGATCGAGTGCACCCTCAGCAAGTTTGCTGACAACACCAAACTGTGGTGTGGTTGAGACAACAGAGGGAAGAGATGCCACCCAGAGGGACCTTGACAGGCTGGAGAGGTGGGCCTGTGAGAACTTTATGAAGATCAGCAAGGCCAAGTATAAGGTCTTGCCTGTGGTTTGGGGCAATCCCAAACACAAGTACAGGCTGAGTGGAGAATGGATTGAGAGCAGCCCTGAGAAGAAGGACTTGGGGCTGTTGGTTGATGGGAAGCTCAATATGAGCCAGCAGTGCGCGCTTGCAGCCCAGAAAGCCAGTTGTATCCTGGGCTGCATCAAAAGAACTGTGGTCAGCAGGTCAAGGGAGTCAATTCTACCTTTCTACTCTGTTCTCGTGAGACCCCACCTGGAGTACAGCATTCAGCTTTGGGGCCTCTGACATAAGAAGGACATGGAACTGTTGGAGTGGGTCCAGAGGAGGGCCACAAAGATGATCTGAGGGCTGGAGCATCTCTCCTGTGAATACAGGCTGAGAGAGTTGGGGGCTGTTCAGCCTGGAGAAGAGAAGGCTCCAGGGAGACCTTATTGCAGCCTTCCAGTACTTAAAGGGGGCCTACAGGAAAGCTGGAGAGGGACTTTTTACAAGGGCATGTTGTGATAGGACAAGGGGCAATGGCTTTAAACTGAAAGAGGGGAGATTTAGATTAGATTTAAGGAAGAAATTCTTCACTCTGAGGGTGGCGAGGCACTGGAAGACATTGCCCAGAGGGGTTGTGGATGCCTCATCCCTAGAGATGTTGAAGGCTAGGTTGGATGAGATTTTGAGCAACCTGATGTAGTGGAAGGTATCTCTGCCCATGGCAGAGGGGTTGGAACTAGATGATAGATTATATTTAAGGTTCCTTCCAACCCAAACCCCATTCTATGATTCTATGGCTGATCCTGTGTTAGCTGGGATTTGCATATCCAGAAAGATGTGCATGCAAAGTGGTGTAGCACTTACCTATCCTCTGTCTCATACAGCTTCATACGGCCTAGTTCTGTCAGGGCTCCCCATGAGGTCTTCTAAATAAAGCAAGGCCAACGAATCCCTTAAGGAAATCTTCTGCCACTGCCTGTTTTAATTTAGTACTTGCATTGTTGCCTCCGATCCATGAGCTTTTAGATAGAGGCACGCTTATACTTGCTGTCTCTATGTGACCTTTATCCAGAAAGAAAATTCATTAGGGTAATAAATAGGAGCTCATTTAGAGAGCTGCAATCTGCATGAAGTCAATAGAGTGTTGTAGAGTAGTCATTTTGAAACTGTGCATTCTCATCCTAAATGAGGCGTGACAACTTGTTGTGGTGTCGTTACAAAGACTTTTTGCTTTACATCATATTGCTCAACCGCATCCTGGGCTGCATCAAGAGGAGCGTGGCCAGCAGGTCGAGAGAGGTGATTCTTCCCCTCTACTCTGCCCTCGTGAGACCTCACCTGGAGTACTGCGTCCAGTTCTGGAGCCCCCAACATAAGAAGGACATGGACCAGTTGGAGAGGGTCCAGAGGAGGGCCACGAAGATGATAAGAGGGCTGGAGCACCTTTCCTATGAGGACAGGCTGAAAGAGTTGGGGCTGTTCAGCCTGGAGAAGAGGAGGCTCCGGGGTGACCTTATAGCAGTCTTCCAGTACCTCAAGGGGGCCTACAGGAAAGATGGGGAGAGGCTGTTCAGGAGGGCCTGTTGTGATAGGACAAGGGGTAATGGTTTTAAAATAGAGGGAGGTAGATTCAGGTTGGATATTAGGAAAAAATTTTTTACCATGAGAGTTGTAGAACACTGGAACAGGTTGCCCAGAGAGGTGGTGGATGCTCCATCCCTGGAGACGTTCAAGGCCCAGTTGGATGAGGCCCTGAGCAACCTGATCTAGTTGGAGATATCCCTGTTTGTTGCAGGGGGGTTGGACTAGATGACCTTTGAAGGTCCCTTCCAGCCCTAACCATTCTATGATTCTATGATATTCTTAAGACCATTGGTTTTGTGCCTTTTTAAAATTTAATCAGCCTTTCATGCATAGGTCTATTTGAAAAAAAAAAAGGCCATGTTACTTATAAACTAACATAAAATAATCACAGACTACTAGCATATTCTGGTCTGTTCTTTGAAGCTTATTTTGAGACAGAGGGAGATATGTTGGTGGATTGTAGAATTAAAGCCTTTCTGGAAAGAGGGTACCTGTAGTCAAGACCCGAATGGTTGCTCTCTGAGCAATCCATGTACATTTCACTAATTGCTCTGGTTTCATCATGATTGTCAAAAATATGTGATTGCATCCCTAGTATGCAGGAAATATTACCTAACTGTAATACTCTGTTGTTGGTGTTTGTTTTTTTTTCCACAGTAGACAAGCAAAACTTCTGCGTTCTTTGGCACTTTGCTTGGCAGGAAAACTAAGACTTGTATTTTCAGTACGTTGCAAATCAGAGCTTTGGCACCAAACAGTTCTGCATTGGACTCAAACTCAATGTCTTATGAAAGGAACTCGTACATCATTCTTTTTTCCCCTGGCATAAAGAGAGCATTACTGAGCATCTAATAATCTCTTGCTAGTAGGAGCTTAGACTTAGATTCTGCCTTGATTTAATTATCTTCTGATTTACTAGGTTGCCCGCTTGTTAATCTGTCTTCCAGTTATATACATTTGTCTTATCAATGTGTCTGCTGTCAAGCTTCAGAGTCAGTTCCAGTATCTGTTAATACTGTGCAATTCTAGACTGATTTTGCTGAAGCTACTGAGAATTTAGACTAAAATATTTATGATTAGTATATAACCAAACAGCATAAAAGTTCTGGTTTTACTTGAAAATTCAAATTCCCTGAAGCAAAGGAGACTTGAGAAACCTATTCCTACGCTGCAAAAGACCCTTGTTTCAGCGAGTCAGTGACCTTGATGCAGGCAGAAATTAAATACGTCCCAAACTTGCACATTTCAAGCTGTCTTCTGCAATCTAGAATATCAAAGAAAATAGAAGCAGCAGAAAATGCAAGTGTCTGGCTTTGATTTTGAAAAACATTTATTAGATTTCTTAATGTAAGGCTGGTGATCCCAGCAGCTAAACTAGAATGCCTGTTAAGGCTTTGCCTCGGTACAGTTTCCAAAGTGTGACTTAAGTAGCGTTTAAATAAAGAAGGTCAAATTTTTCAGCTGTTAATATTAACTAGCTTTTTTGCTGCAACTAGAGCTTTAGCATTAATACCATCTTTTCTTTATACATTTTAGCCGAGTCGAGTTGAAAAGGCTGTGTGAAATATTTACACGCATGTTTGCAGACCCTCACAGCAAGGTAAGATGACAAAGACTTGGCACCCTCCCTTGCGTTACCGTTACCGTGTGTGCACATCTGATACTGTTCCGAGAGGAATGTTTTGTATTTCTCCCCCTGCCATCTGCTGGGGACAACTGGCATTTATAAATTGCCCTGATTTTTATCTCTTTTACGATGAAGGGATGTGTCTCAGTCTCTCTTACGTTGCTAGGAACTGGTTACTCCGTGCTTCCCAAGGAGCATCCTAATGCCTTCGAGATGTCAGCTCCTGGAGCGAGAGGTTCAGTTTTACCTGTTCTTCTCTAGGGACTGTCTTGGCGATATGCAGTAGAGTGAGGTCCGTGAAGGGCAATAAGCCGTAGTCTGGCATCACGATCACTGGGGTTTGTGTATTATACAGACCTGGGAGCAGTGTGGAGTTTCACCAAAATACTGTCTGGGATCTCATAAATAAATAAAATCTTTAATATAGCCACTTTGCCTTGTTTATAACACTGACCTTTGAAGTTAAAAGCCGTGGCATGAATTTACAGACATCTCTTAAAAAGCAGCAGGCTAGGGAATGGGCAGGTTGTGCCACAGCACATTCAGACCCAGTGGTCGTCTGCTGACAGGTAAGTGGGAGCAGGGAGAGGGGAAAAGGGAGTTTCATGCCCTTGCCAGAGGAGGTTTGCTGTTTGAGAGCAACCAGTAACGGCTGTGTAAAAACTGCTGTTGAGTTAAATACCGTTTGAGAAAAAATAGATTGTATAAATATTTGTACTTCAGACCACTTGGTAAACTGGTTTTAATAAACAGTTCTCAGGTGGAAATCTCCTGGGCAGGCATAGTCACAGGGCTTACTCAAAGTGTGCATTTTTGGCCGTAATTATAGTCTGGATCAGCTGTCCTGCAGTCCCCACAGAGTGTGGCAGTTCCTACCTGTAAGGTCTTAATGCTTTGGCTCTCAAAGGTTCAGTATGTGTTGTGGGAAGAGTGAAGGTGTAGCTATTTGTTTGCAAAATATTTCCAATTTCTGAGTAAGGTGAGGGCTTATTGCACGCTGGACTCAAGTATGTTCTCTGTGGCAGCAGCGATCTGTCATCTGCACTGCTTTTGTAGCATTAGTTGTGGTGTTAAACATACGTAAACTTTGTTACATATAAACATATGTTACTTTCATGAGTGAGGAGACTGGGTCTGATCCAAGGTATATAATTTTTAAGTAGCTCCACCGAGAAGAGATTGTGTTTTAAGAAAATGTAAACTTTGAATGAATGCATCTTTTATCTGTTGACAAACTGCATCTGAACAACCAGCCTTGATCACGATGTGTGCTAACGAGTGGTTTGTTTTGTTGCATGGCCTGCTTTGCCGTGGAATTCACAACAGAGAGTAAGTGTATTCTACCCCCTTCCTTCATTCGTTTCATGTGGTACTTTAATATGACACATTTTAGATGTGTCTTGTCTTTTTTTCGGAGCAATGTAGTCACTAAAATCATTCATGAAACTGTCTATAACAAAATCATCCTGAAACTCAGATTGTAACCCCCACCCCTTTGATTATTTTTATTTAAAGCACAGTATTCCTTTTTGTGACATTAGTTTTGTTTATAGGTCTTCAGCATGTTTCTGGAAACACTGGTTGATTTCATCATCATTCATAAAGACGACTTGCAGGACTGGCTTTTTGTTCTCCTGACCCAGTTGCTGAAGAAAATGGGAGCAGATTTGCTGGGGTCTGTGCAGGCAAAAGTTCAAAAAGCTCTGGATGTCACCAGGTAGAGTACTCAGGTGGCAAATGTTGCAGAGATTTTTGCAGGATTACAGGAAGGCATCTGATGAACATTATAAAAACCCAGTAGTGCTGTATATTTTGAGGGCTCAATCTTAATGAATACCAGAATAAAGGAGAACAAAGTTACGTCACAATATTTCAAGCATTGACTTAAAAAGGCCTGTCTCTTTTCTAAATAGATAACTTTGAAGCATAACATTAAAAATGCATAACTGATGAATTTTAATTGATTTGGGGTTTTTTTGGGGTGTACGTGCTTTGATATAAATTCGCTTAGTGCAGTATTCAGAGTATGAATGGTGCTTTACCACAAAGTTCAGAGCAGCTTTCATGCGTCCAAATAGCAAGTAACGGTAATGTCAGGATTGTCAGACCTGGAATGCTACTGCGATGTGCACACCAATTCTGTAGTCCATGTCCTTTTCTAAGGATGTCCAGCACAGGACACTGTTACAATGAAGTTCAACTCATCCTGGAAATGGGTTAATTAGACAGAAGTAGTAGTAATCCAGGACAAAATAGGATAGAGGAGGAAAAAAGAGGAGAGAAATCAAAACCAGGTATGAACTCTGAGGAAAAAATGAAGCAGTCTGCTACTAGAGATAAGGGAACAAAGCACAACCTGAAATGAAGAAGGAATGGATAGGTGTGCCTAAAGCTGGATAATGTATAGAGAGCAGGTAGAGTAACAGTGTATAAAGGTATTGATTTAACAGGTTTTGATAATATTAAATCAGTAATCAGCTAATCCTTAGACTTGAAGTTTCTCTGGTTGATGGTAAAGTTAAGAAGAAGAAAAGGATGATAGGTGCTGAACTCTGTTGAGTAAGCTTTAATGTATCAAGTTAATTTAATCCTGAAAATATATATTGCATTACATTTTTGCCTTTATTTTCTTTGGACAGGGATTCTTTTCCATTCGATCAACAATTTAACATTTTGATGAGGTTTATTGTAGATCAGACTCAAACACCAAACCTGAAGGTCAGTATCAAAAGTCTTTTCGCTAAAGAGTCAACATGGTTGTCTTAGCTTGCCATGTCAGGCATACCGTAAAGCACAGACCTCATGACAAGAATAACTAATTGTACAGAAAATGTACAGAAATGATGTTGGCAACTTTGATTAACTCTCGTTCTCCATTTATAATAAATCTAAATATCTTTAAAATAGGACCCTATGACTCATCACAAATCTGTAGGAGTCGGGCTTTAGGCACGCTGCAACGTAACAGAGTGAAGTTTAGACATGGAAGATTCCTCTTCACCCCGGTCTTGGTGGGAAGGAAACCTGGCTGTGCAAGACAGAAGGGACCAGACTCAGTTGGAACAGCTGGGAAGCTGGAATCCAAGGCACACCTTAAGTGCTTGTTGCACACACAAGTGCTTTTTCAAACTCACAAGCAGACATATGTATTTCTAGCCAATTCTGATATACTATTCCACAATCTTCCTACGCAAAATTATCCTGGATAGAAAGTTACTCTTGATTTTTTTTGAAACATGACAGAGCCATGTGACAGGGATGTTTATTTCCCCAGGGTGACATAGGTCTTGTCAATCTGTATCTGTTTATTATGGGATAAACCCATATTTGCTAACTCACGAGATTAACAAATCTTTTTGCTTCTCAGGTGAAAGTTGCTATCCTGAAGTATATTGAGTCCTTGGCAAGACAGATGGATCCAACAGACTTTGTGAACTCCAGTGAGACAAGACTTGCTGTATCTAGAATTATAACTTGGACAACAGAACCAAAGAGCTCAGATGTGAGAAAGGTAAGCCAGGATGATGAAGTATTTGCAGTAATTATTATTCTTAAAAAAAAGAACAAAAAACCCCAGCCACCAAGAAAGAAAACCCCAACAAAAAATGGTCATAAAGCTAATGGAAAATTCAACAGTTAGATTCTAATTTTAAAAAGTGTTGTGGGTTGTTTTTTTTTTTTTGGACCTTACTGTCCAAACTAAATTGCCAATTCAGTAAAGACACGTTTCCGAAGCATGTCGTCTTATACTTTTTTTTCTGGTAGGTACTTACCCATGTGACTTTTAACTACTATTACTGTACAAAAAGAGGTCATAGTTTGAAAATGTGCTTTTTCTTGAGCTATCTGGAAATATCTTTAGGTTTTTGTTTATTTAGGTGAAGGCTCTCTGCTTTGTAGGCTCAAATGAAATGTAGCACAACTTTTGTCTTATAATATTGTTAAAAGAAAGTAAACAAATCAGTAAGCTGCCAGGAGCTCTCAACTTTTTTCTTTTAAGAGCTGTGTGTTTATCTCAACCTGGAAAAAATTGACGCATTTAGGTCAGGCCTGGGTAATACAGTTACCTTGTTCTTTATCTTGCTGTAGATGCAAGCAGCAGGCAAGCTAAAATAGGCAGGTAGTGATACTCATCTCTCCCAAGAGAAAAGTAAGACTTAGTTTTGTGTACCTGGCATCTGTAATACAGTTATAAAATTACCTTCTTTCCCAGCCTAGATGTAGAAATAGATTCCAGTGGGAGTTAAAGGCTTTAAGGTGTACTTGGAATTTAAAAAAAACCCAAAACTTTAAGCATTTCAAAATGTAAAAATTATGTGATTTTTATGCTCTACATGCACTTAAAGTGTTGAACTAATACTAGAATAACGTATTATTTTATAACTTTGGAATTAAGAAAATTATTTTTGTTGTGATTTCTTGATTCTGATGAAAAGATCACTGGGTATCAAAGGTGCTGCAACTGCAGCATTATCTGATAGCTGACACGAGGCTTCGAAAAGGCTTTTTGGGTGCATGCTGTTTGCTTTCTGGCATACAGCTGATTGGATCTAGAGAAAAATGTCTCATCCTCTTTTCTGAAGACTTTCTGCAGGTATTGTTCACACCAGTGTGAATGAAATTTGATTCTGCAAGATAGTCTGTCTCAGAAAAAAAGATGACTTTAAATCGTGGACTTATATCTGGAACATACATTTCCATTTTCAGGTTTCCCTGTAGAAAGTGAGAAGGAATTATACAGGCGAAGAAGCTGCTTCTCTGTTACAATTCAAGTAAACCTCGCGCAGTTTGCTCTGCTGGTGATCTGTGAGAGGGAGTTGTAATTAATTTAAGTAGAAATATACATCAAAAAGCAAAATCTCTGTGTATTGCTCAGCAGAAGAAATATTCCACCATTAGGGGTCATCATTGCTGCATGTAAAATTGAATGAAGAGTATCTGCAGCAGCCGAAAAAATTCGCTGTGAAGCTGTGGGATGTGGGGAGCTGGTATTCAGTGTGGTGTCCATCCTTCTATCTATTTCAAAGACTTGCAGAGCTCTAGCAAAACTTAGAGCAAGCTCCCCCTGAGCAGTACCTGGGCAAGTGCCTTGGGGTTTGATAAGATTAGTGAATCTAAATTCTTTTTATTAAACCTGCGTATGACTCGAATTTACCTCTGATGCCTGTAGCTTTCAAATAAATTATTACACAGTTAAGCTAACTTAGGCTACTAAAAATGAATGCCCAGGTGATCTTTATTTCATCGTACCGTTGCTGTACTATGATTTTATTAAGAACATAGTACAAACCACACGCTTTAGAAGAAACGCTGCAGCAAAGGATTTATAAGCAATCATCGGCCATTATCTCTGTCAGGACTGTAGTTAACAGACTAATAAATTCATTATGCAGTAACGAACTGGATTATCAAGGGCCAGCCCAGACAGGTGAAATGTTCTGAAGAACACCATTAAAAAATTGTCCTCCTTTTTTGAAGACTATAACCTGGGAAAAAAAGTACCTTTTTTTGTATAAAGATGATTTATTGAAGGATCAGAAGATTCTGTCCTCATGGGAGGTATTATGGCAGCCTTCAAGATCTGAGGTTTTCCAAGTGCAGAGCAGACATGCATTGTACACATTATCACAACCTAAAAATGGAGAGAGCAGTTGAGGTTAATAGGGTAGAGGGAGAACCACCAATTCAGTCTTCAAATGATCAAAGTACTACAAGAGGCTTATAAAAAGTGTAAAATAAGGTAATTGTTCAATAGAATATGGATTTGAGACCACCAGTGCAATCAGCTCTACTGTTGCAAGCTGACAAGAGCAAACTTGATTTTTGATACTGAGGAGTCTTGGCTGGCATATGCCAGTCCACGTATTCATAGATTCATAGATTTCTAGGTTTGAAAAGACCTTATAGATCATTGAGTCCAACCGTCCCTAATCCCCATTAAACCATATCGCTAAGTAGATTTCATAGATTTCATAGATTTCTA